CGATTTGCACCCCCCCCTCAAACTTTCGATTTGCACCCCCTCAAGTTTTTCTCTATATATTTTACTATTTTTTGCCTTGGTGTCACACCCCTTAATGGTGTCACCCGGTGCGGTCCGCACTTCCCGCCCCCCCCCCTCGCTACGCCTCTGTATCTATGTGATATTTGTACAATAGGTACATCTAAAACAGCCATAATCGTACGGCAGAAACAGCTTTTATACCATTTTACCGGAGATAGATTCTGAAAGTACAATGTTAAAAGCTTATGGTCACTCCATTACTTACATTGCCATTTTTCCATCGGGTACCAACTTTATTCAATCTTTCATGTTATTGTGTAAATCTGTCGAGTTTCATTTTCAGTTCTTGATTCATATAGCAGTGTATATTCGGTCTAAATGTTATAGATCTGTTCATATTCTATTTTAAGACTGATGAAATTCATATTCTGTTGTAAATATATACAGGAGTTAGATTCTTTTGTAACTTGATAAAGTAGTTGATATTTTGTTGTAACTTGATCAAGTAGTTGATATTTTGTTGTAAGTTGATAAAGTAGTTGATATTTTGTTGTAACTTGATCAAGTAGTTGATATTTTGTTGTAAGTTGATAAAGTAGTTGATATTTTGTTGTAACTTGATAAAGTAGTTGATATTTTGTTGTAACTTGATAAAGTAGTTGATATTTTGTTGTAACTTTATAAAGTAGTTGATATTTTGTTGTAATTTGATAAAGTAGTTGATATTTTGTTTTGTAACTTGATAAAGTAGTTGATATTTTGTTGTAACTTGATAAAATAGTTGATATTTTGTTGTAACTTGATAAAGTAGTTGATATTTTGTTGTAACTTGATAAAGTAGTTGATATTTTGTTGTAACTTGATAAAGTAGTTGATATTTTGTTGTAACTTGATAAAGTAGTTGATATTTTGTTGTAACTTGATAAAGTAGTTGATATTTTGTTGTAACTTGATAAAGTAGTTGATATTTTGTTGTAACTTGATAAAGTAGTTGATATTTTGTTGTAACTTGATAAAGTAGTTGTTATTTTGTTGTAATTTGATAAAGTAGTTGATATTTTGTTGTAACTTGATCAAGTAGTTGATATTTTGTTGTAACGTGATAAAATAGATCACGTTTAGCTATCGACGTGATTGAATGCTCGGGGCTGGATCACGTGAGATAGACCCCCCCCCAAGGTCCATCCTACTGTCACGGCACGTGACCCCTAATGTATTCAGATGGGCCGGTCTTTATGCTAATGTAAATATTGGTCACACGGGGGACTACATTAGACCGTGGTGGTGATATTAAAATGAGGTGGAGGGGGTGTTTTTCTTTTAAATACATTAGTAGAAAGTGCAAGATGGTGGTTAGATGGTTGGTTAGATGGTTGGTTAGATGGTTGGTTAGATGGGTGGTTAGATGGTTGGTTAGATGAGTGGTTAGATGGTTGGTTAGAGGATTGGTTAGATGGCTGGTTAGATGGCAGGTTAGATGGTAGGTTAGATGGTTGGTTAGATGGTTGGTTAGATGGTTGGCTAGATGAGTGCTGAAACTATCTCAACTATTGCAGACATTTAAAAAAAATATCGTGGTTAAAAATCACCGCGTCACAAAAAATTCAGTCACCAAAGTTACGGCGTCAGCAAGAATTAAAGCGTCATGAAATTTAAAATATTTTATTTGCTCTTGTTGCAAGTACTTTTATTCGACTCCTTGCAAAGAAATAAAAATCGAATAGCACCATGTTTTGGTTCTCAATGGTTCCATAGGTTTAAATCTTTAAAGTTTTAATATTTTTTTTTTAAACGGCATTTTCACCGTATTATCGAACATACCATTTTTTTTGTTGTGAATACAGCATTGAGTTGCGTTAGGTCAAAATATTTAGTTTGCGAAGTTAGGTTAGAATAGGTTAGAATAGTCTAGAGAGGCGTGTGTGAGTTGAGATAACCCTGGGGTGTTTAGGTTTTATAACTCAAAGGTAGAATGCGGGGAGTGAACGATTGTTGGGGGCTTTTTGGTAGAGGCTGGCGTAGGAGACGTTACGTTGATGTGTGAACAAAGGTGATCTGAATAAACGATTTGACCTGTGTGGATTGTGTGGACTTGACCTGTGTGGATTGTGTGGACTTGACCTGTGTGGATTGTGTGGACGACCTGTGTGGATTGTGTGGACTTGACCTGTGTGGATTGTGTGGACTTGACCTGTGTGGATTGTGTGGACTTGACCTGTGTGGATTGTGTGGACTTGACCTGTGTGGATTGTGTGGACTTGACCTGTGTGGGTTGTGTGGGCTGGCATGAAAGTAGGTTGTAACAGTCATGGTGACCATTAAAGGCATTATTTTACTAATTATACTGTAGTGTGAATACAACTAAATTCTCGCCATTTTCTCTTCAGCTTTCTATTACAAAACTATTCTTAACGAAGTCGAGTTATAATGGAATAATTAATTAGGTTATTATCCAAGCCACGTATACCGCGTGCATCAATGGTGCATCATGGGTAAAACACGGTCGTTAAAACCATGTCATGTATGTTTGTATGTTTGTTGGTTTGATGATGGATTAACATGCACTATACAGTTACGAGCCGACCCGCGGCATATCATACGCCGATATTTAGTTGTTTTATTTTCTACTTTTCAGTCATTCATAATTTGTGAATTCGACAGTATCAACGCTGCCACTGAAAATATTTGCTTTAAAACACTAGTAGTAGGCACTAAACCCGGCTGTACGATTATAAACATTTAGCGTGAACCACAGCTCACCAGACCATGTGGGGGTGGGGGAGGTTGCAATATGCCTAGAGAGGAAGAGAGGGGACTGTTAGGCGCGCTTACAGCTTGTTTTCTAGTGTCTCCAAGAAGAGAATTATATATATAGATACTCGTAACAAGATTTAACTAAAGTTATTTGTTTTCCTAATTAAATGTTTATAAACTACCTCGACAATGTGCCCGTCACACATGCTAAATATAGAACTACCTCGGTGATGTGTGAGTCAGAAAACGCCATGAAAATAAGCAAACATTTTAACTCTACCAATTAAGAATTTTTGTCACAGAAAGTTATTTATTTCTTTTTGTTTTTATTTTGAAATTACTGTGTCGCACAGTTTGATTCATTGAGTATCTTTTGATGAGTTTAATGCCCCATGCTACCAGACACATTACTGTGTCGCACAGTTTGATTCATTGAGTATCTTTTGATGAGTTTAATGCCCCATGCTACCAGACACATTACTGTGTCACACAGTTTGATTCATTGAGTATCTTTTGATGAGTTTAATGCCTCATGCTACCAGACACATTACTCAAGGAACTTCTCTTTATGAATCAGCTTATTTCAAATAAAGACATATTTTCTTAACTAATTCAACTTGGACACTACGTGATTATCAACAAACTATCTTGAATCAACATCATTCACGGGGATTAAGCTTCAATCAACATCAATCACCGGACTAGTTTAGAATACTAGTCAACAGCGTCTATCTTCTGATTACTTGACACGAGTGCCCCCTGACCTTTAGACTAGACCATTGTCCACTTTCGTATCTAGAGGTATTCAAACAAGACGCACATTTCAAGTGAACATACAAATTGTAGGTTAGTGCAGGGGACTCTCATTAGACCCATTAAATTTGATACCAAGTGACAGTGACATTTATTTCAAATTTCAAATAATAGAATCCCCCTAGTGATATTAATATTAGAATCTCCGTAGTGACATTAATATCAGAATCTCACTAGGTCCGAAAACTCAAATCATCTGATGAATTATGGATAATTATGAGCTTCTTTGGAGAAGCGCCATAAATTAGTTTTTTTAGTAATCAATTAGTTAGGTCAAGATGTGTCAAAACGGACTGGTTTTGTCCAGATAATGTCAAGCTATTGTTGTGGTTACGTATGTCAGTTTTTGAGACAGAATCCATGAAATCATTGTGACTGTGATCTATGATAGATCGACCATCCGCTGTGATCTATAATAGATCGATCATCTATCTTCCACCTCATGGAACAATATTATAATTACTTTACAATTAAAATGTCGTACGTTCTACATCACATTAGCATATAAATATATCGCAGAGAAACGCCATTTAAAATGACGTCGTTTTTAGTATTTAATCCACGAACCCACGAGAGAAAAGATCAGTTTCTCTCACCCGTAATTGAGTGTGTTAAGGGGTGTTTCACTGAACAAACTTACAGGTGCTAAACTTTCTCTTCGGATTAATCAATTAGTTGATCAGGCCCATAAAGACGAAACGTTTTGAACCCTCAACATATGTAGCTTGCAGATCCTAGATACATTTAACAATTAAGTCACAATTTTAGTCTCGTTTTGAACTTAATGTAATGTTAGTCTCGTTTTGAACTTAATGAATATAAAAAGGCTACACCTTACAAAAAAGTTCAGTGAAAAGAAAAACTTAAGCTTCCTTTACGAAACTGTCAGTCAAGACAGGATGTGGAGTAGATTTTAGGTGTTTTTTCATACACTTTTTAAATAAAATAAAATAACAATTTTATTTTACAAACATAATAAGATTTTTTTTTCTCTATATTTATCTGTAAGGTCAAAGTTTTAGACTAACTATACAGGTATAACTTAGATCACCTGTAAGATGTTAGGCTAACCATGCAGGTATAACGTATATCACATGTTAGGCTAACCATGCAGGTATAACTTAGATCAGATGTTAGGCTAACCATGCAGGTATAACTTAGAACACCTGTCAGATGTTAGGCTAACCATGCAGGTATAACTTAGATCAGATGTTAGGCTAACCATGCAGGTATAACTTAGAACACCTGTCAGATGTTAGGCTAACCATGCAGGTATAACTTAGATCAGATGTTAGGCTAACCATGCAGGTATAACTTAGATCAGATGTTAGGCTAACCATGCAGGTATAACTTAGATCACCTGTTAGATGTTTGACTTAGATTAGCTGTCAGATCAAAGATTTTTTTTTCAGATTTACGCCATGGTCTTCACTGTTATCCTCTTCTGCTGTTTCACCCTCAGTGCGCATGCGTGGAGATTAGATGCAACACCGGAAGAATATGATGAGGTAAGTCTTGTTTCTCCTTCTTTCATCAGATGTGACCGTAGATCATCTAATCTAGTTCCTCAAAGCTATGTCTGTGTTTCTATAAGACCTCACAAAGTTGATTCATACATCAAGTTTAGAATTCTTCATGCAAAAAAAAATAAATAAATAAATAAATAAATAAAAACTAACAAAAAAACAAACAAAAAACTCTTTTAAAACATAATATAGACATAAATCAAAACATGAATCTAACATCAGTTAGTTTATTCAAGAAAAACAAAGTTTAGGTATTTAAAATCAGATGAAACAATTCGACGCTTTAAAAATGCTTGTAATACTTCAAAAAGTACGAATTCAATTTTTAATTAGAAATAAAATTATTATCTAAATTGTTTACACATTAATTCTTGTAACTTTTCGGTGTTGACAAATTACCAGTTTCATTTATTTGTCAAATAATTAACTGTACCATTTGGGTGTTAAGTAATTACCTGTACCATTTGGGTGTTGAATAATTACCTGTACCATTTGGGTGTTGAATAATTACCTGTACCATTTGAGTGTTGAATAATTACCTGTACCATTTGGGTGTTGAATAATTACCTGTACCATTTGAGTGTTGAATAATTACTTTACCATTTGGGTGTTGAATAATTACCTGTACCATTTGGGTGTTGAAAAATTATTTGTACCATTTGGGTATTGAATAATTACCTGTACAATTTGGGTGTTTAATAATTATCCGTAACATTTGGGTGTTCAATAATTACCTGTAACAGTTGAGTGTTGAATAATTACCTATCTCGAATAGGTTTTACCATTTCTGATTTTGAAAATCATAAATGAAAACTTTTGCTTTTAAAATCATAAAACCTCATTAGCCTAATTAACTTCTTCCACCCACTACCAGTACCATGCCCGTACATTTTGTGTCGCCTTGCATACACGATCACGTGGCCGAATGCCTGGCCAATTAGCGCCAGGAACTGTATTTCATAGGCTGTGACAGGAAACTGACCGGCAGACGACACGTCAGATTACACGAGCCTCGCTGACCGGATGTCACTGGAACATCCGGTGCCAAACGTACTTCCTGTCTGCGGTTGATTCGTATATCGCCTTAGAGGATAACAAACTCGGACATTTGTTAACTTAGAAAATGGCTAACTCGGACAGTGGCTAACTGAGACAGTGGCTATCTTTGTCAGTGACTAACTCGGACAGTGGCTAACTTTGTCAGTGGCTAACTGAGACAGTGGCTAACTTTGTCAGTGGCTAACTGAGACAGTGGCTAACTTTGTCAGTGGCTAACTGAGACAGTGGCTAACTTTGTCAGTGGCTAACTTTGTCAGTGGCTAACTTTGTCAGTGGCTAACTTTGTCAGTGGCTAACTTTGTCAGTGGCTAACTTTGTCAGTGGCTAACTTTGATAGTGGCTAACTTTGATAGTGACTAACTCGGACAGTGGCTAACTCGGATAGTGGCTAACTGTGATAGTGGCTAACTTGGAAAATGACTGACTTTGACTAACAATGGCTACCTAGAACAATGGTTAACTTTGGCGATGGCTGACTCGGTCTACGACTAACATGAATATTGACTAAAATTGGAAATGGTAAACTCAGAGAATTGCTAAGGTAGAAATGGTTGGATTGGACAATGGTTAGATTGGACAATGGTTAGATTGGACAATGGTTAGATTGGACAATGGTTAGATTGGACAATGGTTAGATTGGACAATTGTTAGATTGGACAATGGTTAGATTGGACAATGGTTAGATTGGACAATGGTTAGATTGGACAATGGTTAATTTGGACAATGGTTAGTTTGGACAATGGTTAGATTGGACAATGGTTAATTTGGACAATGGTTAGTTTGGACAATGGTTAGATTGGACATTGGTTAGATTGGACAATGGTTAGATTGGACAATGGTTAGATTGGACAATGGTTAGATTGGACAATGGTTAGATTGGACAATGGTTAATTTGTATGACAGCAATAGTAAAAACAACAACAATGAAAACATACTGACATAGCGTCGGCTACTATCAATAGCGGCTTACAGGTAAAATACAAAATACAAGATCTGAATCTCAGAAAGTCCAGCTGATGTATGAGTTTGTGACAGGCTAGAAATGTGATCTTTGCTCGTACCTCAAGGCCTGCTTCTTTGTCTACACACCCACGCTGCTAAAAATATGCACCGTAATTAAGGCTAATTACAAATAAGGTTAATTATTAGGGTTTTCTTCAAGAAAAATAATTAGCTTGACTGTAATTAGTATTTTTTTGTATCTGAACTGCTTGTTTATACCTTTGTTAAGCCATCGCTAGCAACCATCCCCATCCCTACCTGCAATTAGAGGTGTCAAGAGGTGACGTATGCAGATGTTGAACGAAAATTTACGCTGCTAGATCTTCACTGTGACTAATTAATTAACCTAATTAGCCACACTAAAAGCTGCATTAGATGTGGAGTTCTAACGAAACATTTTGAATTCATTTGTATCGCTTAAATATTTAAATATATCTTACAGTATTACAGCAAATTACTCAGCAAAGAGCGCGTCTTAGAAAAAATGCTTCAACCATTAATACGCTTTAAATATTTATTGCCTTAATTAGCGCATTAGTAGATGGCGTTCAGTTTTTACAAACATTTCAGGTACATTTGGCTTTGAGGTGCTTCTCTCTAAATTGATTAACATAATCAAAGCTTCACGTTTAATTAAAAAAAAAATTAGATGGGCTAGAGACTTCCGATGGAGTGTGTTAAAAAACGTGAAGCACTCAGTGTACATTGAAATCATGGCCTCTACTTCCGTTATCAGAGAAGTCTGCTCCGTTATCATTCCATTCTTATGGCTCATTTACAATTAATAATTAAAGACTTTTTTTTTTTAAATTTTCGTTCCGCTTTCTCTAAACTTTGTTGCCAAAAAGAAAATACTGGTTGATGTTTTTAATGATAGAGGATGTATGCAGGAAATAAAAATCTGTTGATTCAGTTCTATGTTGCTGTCTCTCTTGAGATGTTCACTCCATTTTTTTTATTTAGAGTCGTCGGGAATGGGGACAACACATTAATAGACATCATGATGTTTTAAAATAGTGTCGTAGGGCCATGGGACAACATATCATTTAAACATCATGATATTTTAAAATAGTGTCGTAGTATCAGGGGACAAAACATATAGACATCATAATGTTTCATAAAGAGTTGTCAGAAAGAAATAAACATTGATTACTTAAAGAAATAAAAAATACGTCACATGAAATAATTCCTGATTTTATTCCGACTCTGCAGTAGTTGATATATGTTTATGCAATAATAAAATTGTTTCATACAAACAGAAACACACACACTTGTACATACCCAAACCTACACTCAAGGTCGAGGTCACACGGGGGTCAAACGTGACTAGTAATTACGTCACAGCAGTGAGTATGTGCCGGCAGTTGGGCGCCAAGTCGAGGCTCTCAATGACGTAGTTCCGGCGGAAATGATACAGGGGCGTGCCGGACATGGAGCGTTGAAAAGGTTTTAAATAGATAATTTAAAATTCACGGTCGCGCTAAAATATAAAAAAACCTGTCGCAGCATATTGGATGTAATTTAATTATCCTCATCAAATTTTCCATTACGTCCTTTCTATTTTAGCACAAAAAAATCTCAAAATTTAAATAAAAAACGACGATAACTACACATTTACAAAATTGCGGTGATAATAAAAAAAATTCAACTCAAATTAAACAATAATTTTTGGACACCTTCGCGAAAATAATTTGAAGACTACCTTTAGAAGTCGTAACATCGAGGGTCCACAGTGCATTAGGAAAAGGAATGGGCTCAAACTTAACGTGGGGTTGAATATTATGGAAATAATTTTCAGGCGTACTTGTGCTAGTGATAGAATTACCTCAAAGGGGGGGGGGGGGGGGAGGAGGTCAAAGCCATGATCAATTTAGGGTTAGAGACAGTGTTGGGGCAAGGGTTAATGTTTAGGGTAGGGTTAAGGTTGGGGTAGGAGTAGGGTTAGGGTTAGGGTAAGGTAGGAGTCTGGTTAGGGTTAGGGTTAGAGTTAGGGTTAGGTGTTAGGGTTATTGTAGGGTAGGGTAGGGTAGGGTAGGGTAGGGTAGGGTAGGGTAGGGTAGGGTAGGGTAGGGTAGGGTAGGGGTAGGGTAGGGTAGGGTCGGATTGGGTTACGGTTAGGGTTAGTGTAGGGTTAGGGCAGGTTAGTGTAGGGTTAGTGTAAAGTTAGTGTAGGGTTAAGGCAGGGACACTCAAGCAGGTACAACAGATTTGATCAAGTATGCAATAAAAGAATGGTTTGAATCAAATGCCCTCAGTATTGATATTTTACTTTGGCAGGTGTAGGTTCGGTTGGTTAATGTAGGTGTATGTTTGGTTGGTGTAGGTTTATTTGTTTGATGTGGGTTTTTAGGATGATGTAGGTGTATGTAGGACTGACGTAGGCGTATGTTTGGTTGGTGTAGTTGTATGTATGTAGGACTGACGTAGGCGTATGCTTGCAATGATCCCGTTAAAGGTCGGAAAGTTTAGACTTTAGTGCTCAATGTTTTGGATATCGAGATAAAATAATTTAATCCGGCTGGATGTTTTTAAAGCCAGGCATCTCATCAATTAATGTATGCCTATCACATGCATGGGCACGTGATCGAGGGATGTTAGCTCCCTTTGAGCGTTCATCGGAGTTAAGTCCCCTTTTGATCCCCAAATGGGTGTTGGGGATTGAATTCTGTCTGATTTTTAACAGACTTTTTTTCTTCTCCGATATTTTCATCACATCGAGTTAAGTCCCTTGATCATTTACTCGGTGCAGCTGATTCCCTCCCTTTTAAAATTAGATGTATTGCAATATGTATCATATATTTTAAATTTTCTGTATTGCAATGTGTCTCATATATTTTAAATTTTCTGTTTTGCAATGTGTCTCCTATATTTTAAATTTTCTGTATTGCAATGTGTCTCCTATATTTTAAATTTTCTGTATT